AAACCCGTCATTCAGGGACAATAAAACAACCCTTTATTCAGGGACAATAACACAACCCTTTATACAGGGACAATAATACAAACCCGTTATTAAGAGACAATAAAACAAACCCGTCATTCAGGGACAATAACACAACCCTTTATTCAGGGACAATAACACAACCCTTTATTCAGGGACAATAAAACAAGCCCGTTATTAAGAGACAATAGAACAAACCCGTTATTCAGGGACAATAAAACAAACCCGTTATTCAGGGACAATAAAACTAACCCGTTATTCAGGGACAATAAAACAAACCCGTTATTCAGGGACAATAAAACAAACCCGTCTGTCAGGGACAATTACACAACCCTTTATTCAGGAACAATAACACACCCCTTTATACAGGGACAATAATACAAACCCGTTATTAAGAGAAAATAAAACAAACCCGTCATTCAGGGACAATAACACAACCCGTCATTCAGGGACAATAACACAACCCTTTATTCAGGGACAATAAAACAAACCCGTCATTCAGGGACAATAATACAACCCTTTATTCAGGGACAATAACACAACCCGTTATTCAGGGACAATAAAACAAACCCGTCATTCAGGGACAATAACACAACCCTTTATTCAGGGACAATAACACAACCCTTTATTCAGCGACAATAAAACAAACCCGTTATTCAGGGACAATAAAACTAACCCGTTATTCAGGGACAATAAAACAAACCAATTATTCAGGGACAATAAAACAAACCCGTTGTTGAGGGACAATAAAACAAACCAATTATTAAAAGACAATAAAACAAACCCTTTATTCAGGGACAATAACACAAACCCGTTATTCAGGGACAATAAAACAAACCCGTTATTAAGAGACAATAAAACAAACCAGTCATTCAGGGACAATAAAACAAACCCGTTATTTAGGGACAATAAAACAAACCAATTATTAAGAGACAATAAAACAAACCCGTTATTCAGGGACAATAAAACAAACCAATTATTCAGGGACAATAAAACAAACCCGTTATTGAGGGACAATAAAACAAACCAATTATTCAGGGACAATAATACAAACCAATTATTCAGGGACAATAAAACAAACCCATTATTCAGGGACAATTAAACAACCCCGTTATGCAGGGACAATAAAACAAACCCGTTATTCAGGGACAATAAAACAAACCTGTTATTCAGGGACAATAAAACAAACTCGTTATTCAGGGACAATAAAACAAACCAATTATTCAGGGACAATAACACAAACCCGTTATTCAGGGACAATAGAACAAACCCGTTATTCAGGGACAATAAAACAAACCCGTTATTCAGGGACAATAAAACAAACCTGTTATTCAGGGACAATAAAACAAACCCGTTATTAAGGGACAATAACACAAACCAATTATTCAGGGACAATAACACAAACCAATTATTCAGGGACAATAAAACAAACCCATTAATCAGGGACAATAAAACAAACCCGTTATTCAGGGACAATAAAACAAACCCGTTATTTAGGGACAATAAAACAAGCCCGTTTTTAGGGACAGCAAAGTCCGTCTCGGAAACAACCAGTCAGGTTGCATATGGGGGCCACATCCGAGTTTTAGTAAAGTAAAAAATAAATGAGCAAATACAAAGAAAATAATGAAATGTTATCGTTCACTTTTCTACTGGAAAGATTGCATTATTTTGATTAAACACACATGCTCCCTTTAGATATCAACGAAAACTTTAACTTTATAAAGAAATATATGTAGCTATATAATGTTGAAAAGTATAGAAGACGTTGGCATTTTGTCCTTTAGACTACTTTTTTATCGGTCCTACTAAAACACTGCTAGTGACATTTAGTAATTGAGGCATGTGGACATATATTTTGTGCATGTACATTGTACATATCTGCTACAATATACTAGTATTGCCACTAATGTTAAGCAATGTAAAATAACCCGCTGGGGCCTGACGCATTGTTGGTGTCTTTATAAGAATATTAGTACGATATATTTACAATTTCTACTGCAACTATACATACACTAATTATGTCATTATTATTATTATTATATATATATATATATACAGTTCCTACTGCAATACGTATATTGAATATGTTTGTACAAATAATAGTTATATATATATACATTCCCTGTTACAATTATACATTCTGGTCCCTCCGATTTACCTCACAACAAACGCGATAATAACAGTATGAAAAATATCAGCAATTTTTTGCTTGTCCATGTTGTATGTAGCTATATTTGGTGTTAAATGGATTTTGAATATTGTCTGTGATGTAGTATATTTCACACGTCAGGTGTGAAAGCTTCCATGGAACGTAGATTGACATGATCGAACGACCGTCCCAGTAGAAGTAGTGGAGGATCCTGGGTGACAACAGTTGAGGGAGTCAAGTTCGATCACCTGGAACTGGACAGGAGAGATGTCGTTTAATAAGTAGACCAGGGCATGTAGGCAACGAGTCGAATGGTGTTATGTTAGTCATTAGTCAGAACAGGACCTGGGGAGGACAACGAGAAGTAGGTCATATTGATCAGAATAGAATCGGAAGGATCAAGGAATGTGCATTTTGTAAAAACATGAAGCTCGAGGGTTGTTGGGGGAGGGGTGCATTCTTTTTAGTCTGAATAGAACCGGACCGTTACGCCGGAATGGGATCAAAAGTACAAAGGGGGGAGTGCGTTCGAATAGACAAAATAGAACCAGGACCATGGGATGTGTGTTTGAAAAATTGTCCCACAGGTCATAGAGGACATGTGCATATGAAATTTAGATGTGTTTGTGCATTTTTTTACATTTATATTTATGTATTTACATCTTCGAGATTCAAGGATTCTTCTCTCTATAAACGTATGTTGGTGTAGAGAGGATGCGTTTCGAAGTTCACTTTTATTGTTATTTATTATTATTGATTTTTCAATGTTGATTTTACTTTCTTTATGTGCAATGCCTGCTACAACAAACTCTGTAACAGAACATAGTCATCCTCTGCTCGATCAATCGATTATACAAATATTTCTACCTTGTAATCCAGGCCGTATTTATAAACGCACCGACCGTACATATAATCGCACATGCTAACTACCTCCTTAGCATGTGCGATTAAAGAAATTAGTGTTTTGAAAGCAAAAAAAAAAGCAAAAGAAAAATGCATGTGGCAGTTTAAGTATTTTGAAGCGTTTTATCGTTACAATTTCCTACATCGTCAGCATTTGTTTTCTGGGAAATATTTACATATGTTGTTGTTACCTTGTAAGTTGTATATAATCGGTATCACCATATGCAATAAACGTATGTTCGTGTAATACTCAGTTTTTTTATTGGTAGTTGTTGTCACTTACATTAAGCCACAGACACTGGACTCATAAGACCACGGTGTCGGAGGGGGAGAGGGGGACACGGGTTCAAATACCAGCGTACTGACACGTATTATCCGTGAAACCTGTGTCACTCTACAGATGTAAATGTCGTATTGTAAATTATGTTCTTTGCAAATAGAGATCATCGACATTCAGCAATCTAGTTTTACTGCGTAATATATTGGATCTCAAACAAATTATATACTTCAATAAATAGGTGTGAACTCAGTGTTGCAACGAAATGAATCTCCAGATTGCAACAACAGATTGAATCTCAATAAACGAATGTGTAGATTTATCTGATAAAAACAACTCTTTGATTTGACAACCTAATATCCTTCACTGTGTGACGTCGTTCCTTTGTTTTATGAGGGTGACACTATATACTTGTATACATATTGAAAGCATCCATAAGAAAAAACATTCCGAGTGTTGGAGAGGCCTTCTATCTACATCTATATAATATGGTGTAATGTGTGCGGTATGTGTTAGATTACGTTATTCCTCACAGAACGCTGTTCGCTCTTTTGTGTATAATTGTTTGTTTTAGAGGAAATAAAAAGAGATTTGTCGATCTCCTTCGTTGTTCTCTTTTGTCATATTACGTTAGTTGTACGTACGTGACTAGTATTGGCGTGTACATTCAATACAAGCCGAGGCGAAATTTAAAACCTTTCATTGTAAATGAAGATGCACTGATTTAATTCAGATATATTAGCTTCGATCGACGAAGCAAGCAGTATATATTTACAGAAATAGAACCCATGTGATGGAAGAGCCACCATTTAGCTTGAACATTAACAGATTGACGGGAGGTAACTCTCTTTTAATCACTAGTCCTGTCGCAGTCATTTTTGTACGGCGATAAACATTATAAACTGTTTTCTAAGATAACTAAAGAAATAAAGGATAAATATTGTAATGTAAACGGAGTATTGTCGCAGTGGTATTGATATTAACGTACATTGTACGCATCATCAATGCTGTCTTACCTTACACCGTGTGTTAAAAAAGTTTTCTTTCTTTTTGCGTTGGTGAACCTCTGGAAATGAAATGAAACGAATCAATCAATCTATTTTTAAACAAGCAGATTATAATATCAACAAAGGTCTTACACTTTTGAGGTCAAGAATGTGGCTTTGCTAAATGCTGAACGTTACATAAAAGGGTGGGAAAATCGAAGGGGGACTGGCGTCAGTATGTACCGAAATTGAGGAGGCGGAAAACGATTAAATTCTTCAGAATTTTCATATTTAAATTTACCATATACATGTAATTTGATGTTGGTCCGTATCTGGAATACCGAGGTCGATACCCGTATTGAAGATTACCGTATTTATATACATTTTTTCAGCCTTGAAGATTACCGTATTTTCTCTTACACAGGCAGACGTGGTAATATACGTACATGATTCCCTTACATCAACAGTGTCGCTTTCTAAAAACGACATTGAAAAAAATCAACTGTTTTATAGCCTGATATATCATTTGTATAGCTAATGTACGCTTCCACTTGGATTTGACTATGATACGGAGATCCTCCATGGTTTGTAACAAACAGCTACATACATCTTCTATCGTACATTGCTGGTGTTTTCTGTCATTACTGATGTTTTTGTGTTATAGCATGGGCAGGCAAGTGTGTAGTGTGCCGGTCAGACCGCGTGGACGGATGTGGAGAGACTATGGATATAGGCATCATTAACGACCACACTCAGTCATGTAACTCGAGTAGCTGCGACAAGAGGATTAACGAGGAGTTCCACAGTAAGTCTTGGTAACTGGTCATCAGTCATTGTAAACATGCTATTCTAGTCCGGCCTGCGCCTATCCGACTTAAAATTCAATAGCTTATATATGCACAAAATGGATTCCCCGGCATGTAATGTGATGGGGCTATTCCGTCTTTGTGTATTGCAGAGTTATCTTCTCTTGTGAGCAGGTACTGATTGTTACGTCATTGGTATGAGTGAGAAAAATTACGTCGTTTTCTCAAAAATTGATGACGTTACTCTCATAAAAAAATGACGTAACAATCAATACGCAAAGACGGAATACTGTTACCCTTGTTCGTCTGTCCATACAATGACATACTCTCTCAAGGGGTTACATTGGATACCAAGCTTTAACGAGTTCTCGTTTCAGCATTATAAACTCAAGATTAAACAGTCGCTATATTTACATACATCCATGCAGTGACATCATCTCGCCGACATATTTGTTGGTTGGGGGTGGAGTCGGGCGGGGCGGTTTGAATGTGCGTTATTAAGCTTAAGTACAAGCCAACATGGATTAGAATTATTGCACAGAAACGTATATTCTATTTATAACAGCAATGACATTGACCTTTAACAATCGTAATCGCAAAAAAAATCATTTTCGGTAAAAAAGCAGTGAAACCAAATTTCTTATTTATCGTAACAGTAACCTTGACCTTTACCTTCTTACCCGAAAAGCAATCACAAGCCTGCCCTTTCAGTGAGAAAGCACTGCAGTAAACTTTAAGTGAATATCACACAAGAGGTACATAATAATAGTTCAGTAAGAAGGTATTAGGATATGGACATTGTACCCGATAAACCACTATACATTTCAAAATGGTGTCCAGTAATATCTAAGTCGGATTTGACACTTAATTTGCAAACGGGATATAGCTTTTATAAGGATTGTGATCAACTAGATTTTAATTTAATTCTTCTGGATTAGGAACGCAGGTTTCGGATTAATGTATACAATTATTTGTTTGTAGAAAATCGTTCTAGAAGTTAGTGTCAAGATTGTATGACCGTATATTGTATCGTTGTTTGTTTGTAGCTCTCGTAATCCGGCAGTGTGGCCAGGATGGGAATTTTGACGAGGATTACTACTCTGCCAAATGCAAGGAAATGACCAATTTCAAGGTGTGCAAGTGTAGGGGCGACGTGTGTAATGGTCAGTCAAACATCGTGTCCAGTCTGAGCGTGCTGACCAGTGCTGTACTGGCAGTCCTTGTACTTCTTAGACAGATTTAGTCACACGAGGAAACATGGATACGACTGGTATTACATTAATTTAACATCACTCCGAGTTGTTATAACAATAGAGAATGTGTAAGATTAAGGTGTAAGATTATGTGGACCTTAAATAATGTCGAGAAGCTGTTTGCATCTGAATGTGTGTATATAATATAGTTTTGTGTAACTGGAGACGTTCATATATTTAGTAGATACTATTTATGCTTGGTGATTTGGAGTTGTATATCGGCACATTGAAGAGTCAGAGAAATGATGACGTCACTACGGAATCTCAGAGATGGTTACGCCCCAAAAGATTCAACTGTAGTGACGTCACTGAAGAGTTTAAGAGATGGTGAGGTCACTGTAAAGTCCAAGAAACGATGACGTCACTGTACTGAGTCTTACGAATGGTGTCACTGTTTGCAGGGCCCAGTTGTTCAAAAAGTGATTAGATTAATCAGTGATTAGCGCAAAGTTTATTTTTTTTGTAACTTTTAAACAAAACTATTGAATTAGTTACAATTTTCTAGATATCAAATATTTAGTAAAGTGAAGTCACATGCAAAACTGTGAGATTTTACCTTGTTTATTGACGTAATTATTACAGATTGAAATATGTCGTTAGACAGTGATTAAGCTAACCACCTTTTGAACAACTGGGCCCTGAAGTATGGTAACGTCATTTTATAGTCTGATAGATCGTGATGTCATGATTATGTACATGGATCTTCCAATTTGTTGATGTCGAGAAAAATGGATGGTTGTGTTCAGTAATACTTTTATTTGACCCGATAAACTTCATTATTGTGTAGGAAACTGGTTAATTATCACAAAAACAACTTTTACAAAGTCCTAAAACAAGTGGGCTTTTTAGCCACAAGCTGTTCTGATTCATTGTTGGATTTCACAAGTTTCCTTGTGACATTTGCTTATATTTGTATAGATATAGTCTATGCGCGCTTTCAGCACACACACGTGTTCTTTGGTCCGAGCACAGGCATCGGCGTCTGGCTTGCAAATTATGAAGGGTCTCGCTCTACACAGCTCAGATACTACTGGTATGAAACAGACACGGATGCCTGTGTTCTGAGATTGTTGTACCATGATTCATCACATGTGTAACCACAAAGACGGGATAGGCTCATGGTGTGTAAGTAGTATTTTAAAACTGCCAAACAAAAGGATGCTGGAAAATACTCCGATATTTCACGTTTAACAGCATTTTCCCATTATTATTTTGGTAAAAACAACTTTTCGGGGCTGAAGATTACGTATGTTTTTAAAGTTCATTGTAAATAGACTGTTTTGTGTTACATTATATAATGTACATATTTTACCACGTTTGTGAAGTAACGACACTATTGGACGATAGACCATGCGCGTGCATGTATTATATTCCATCAAACCAACACTATTCCAATTTGGGATGCCAAACATTATATACCAAGTTGTATACGATAGCCGGAAGGTTGTATTGATCAGGACTCTATGCATTTACATTGATGTTTGAAGAGTATTTGTACAAATATTGTAAATTCGTAGCTAAAGTGCCATCGTTACTAGCATTTAACCATCACAGTTTGTTGTCAGAAATACTGTACCTCCTAATCATTCCTCTCACCTGTTTTGGTGTTTAGTTTGTTTGTTTTAATTTCATAACTCGTACTACCATTAGCAGTTTTCCTATACTCAATAAAAAAAAAAAAATCTCACAAAATCGACTTTTGTATTTCTTCACTTCGCACAGCCTACTATTGGCTCATCCTCGATAACCAGCGGTTACATGTACGCTTACTTACGCTCTCTGCACCCCTGGAATATATGATAGCAAAATTGAAGGCACGCGACTAGCTATTTAGTTGGTGTCAGGTAAAAAAACCTGACCAATCACTAGGCTGATACTTGTCCTTTGAAGATCACAAAGGAGCGACGCCCGACGTCCTGTCATTCTTTACCGTTACGCGACCGCGAGATTCTTTTAATGTCCATCAAAGGATCAAACTAGTCTTCTCGCCTTATCCATTATGTGCTGCATATTGAGCCTTCGATTTCGTTATGACATATTCCAGAGGTGCAGACAGCGTATGTGAGCGTAACCCCTGGATATCGAGGATGCTAACAGAAGGGCAGTTGTAGTAATATATGAACGAATTCTTCACTGTTAATTTATTACATGAACACGTTAGAATGGGGGTTTATTTCATATTTTGACTCAATTCTATCCAGTCTACCTGAAACATTGCAATAATGAAATGGCCGTTGCTGTAATTTATGTCTCAACGGAGTTCAAACTGGAGTTGGAGATATATGTAAACAAAATTCCTTCTGTTGAAAAGAAGTATCCCGAATGTGCAAAATGCAAAAGACCTCTTCCATACAGGTTTGAATGAAGACAGAGACGATTTGATGATGGTCTGCAGAAGAATTTCGGTAAATAAAACTTAATTAAGATTTATTAATATATTGCTCGGTAAAAAAATCTATATCATTAAATTCTGTACACAATACACAGCAAAATTCCAAGGTTGGTAGCGTTTAAACTTTATCTTTTCCGTGATTCAATAACACATCATAGGACAACACCATCTTTACCGCATGTAATGAGCAAAAAGGACATTGACTTAAAAATAACCTTCTTAACGGTACCAACTTGCTTCGGATTGAAACTGGCGGTTAACCAGGAATAGCACATCAAGAGTAAAAAAGAACACAAAGTTGGGGTTTCCAAAATGACCCATTGATAACCTTAATACATCAAGATCATTTAGTTTCATGTCGATTCTGGCATCAGATAAAGTCCTCGTTTCTCAGATGTTTGGCACTGTTTACTATAACCTCAGGTGGTGCACCAGTGGGTGAATTATTCTCCAGTCAGGAACCGTCTCGCTGATCTCTACATATACCTCTGTATCAGCTCCTATCACTCTCGTTTAAGGTTTCTGAGAGATCAAACTATTGCTTTCATGATGTCAACTGTTCAGCCCGATTCCTCAGTCATTTTGACGCTAATATTTATCTCCCCCTGTCAGCTACCCCCTCTTCTTTACCATTCATCAAAAGGATTGTCTTGTGTAGCTCCAGTACATTCGTTCCTTGGTAGACAACAAAATCGACATCCCTTCTACTGGCAGTCGTCTGCTTATCACTGGTCTACTGATAATGCATCCACAATACGCTCTTTGCAGTGCAGTCAGTTCCACCATGCTAATATGTTTGGAAGTGCGTCCAAAGCAGACTATCAGGTATCCGGCTGGTGATTGCAATCTCTGAGAGAGACGTGCATGTAGATCCGCCCTCAAATACCATTCCCCTAACGAGGCCAGACTACTACACGGTTCCACTTATTCTGCTCGCTCGGACGCAGTAAAGGAACTTAAATAGTCTTATAATCACCTTCTTTGGTCTTTTTTTTTCATCTGTCGGAACAGGTTTATCGACCCTTCTTCAGTACCACCGAATATAATAAAGGGATGTGTTCCAAATCCAAACTTACTACTCATTTACTCAATATACGCTGTTGATTCCTACAGTATCCGTATTCACCACACAATTTGTTGACTCTATTAGCACATCGCCCATTGACATGAGCGGGGTTCGAATGCGGTTTTCCTACATAGCTTAAATGTCGTCCATGAAAATTAAGCCAGCTCCTTTGTCGATTTAAACCTGCTGCCATAACAACTGTCCCCTATTCCCACACTCTTTCTCCTTCTCTGCCTGTCGTTTTCCTTGTAGGCTTCGTCGTTGTCAGTATCCCTTGTCTGTCAAATGTTACCGTTCCTATGATATCCCCTTAGCACATCATCGACTAGGATTCTGTGATATACTTGTCTGCTGTCCATTTCCTCCCGGTTTTCACTTTCATCTGCTCCCAATCATCTTCTCCTCCTTGTTGTTTGGATTGGGAACACCTGTCTTACCTTGGAATTCTTTAATTCATCAGTCATGAACTGAAATAGAACGCCTATCATCAACTACTTCCCGTTCATTGTAGAATCTAGTGTTGCTAAACCTACATGGTGTCTACAACCTACGCAGATTTCTGCTCACAATGCTCTCCATTTTCGTATTGTTAAAGACATCATACATTGGTAGGGGAAGTCTATACGTTAAGTCATCTTTGTTGCACCTCTTGTCCACTTGTCATCCATTCCTATGCATGTACGGTTGCTAAGGAACCATTGTAGAACAAATTCCCCATGCACATTATTTGAACTTCATGCGTGCAACTTTGGATTTAGATATTTAACAAGCGACCTAGATGAAGTACCCTTGAAATGAACTTGTCTTTCTCTGTGTAACGCGAGAACTTGTCATTCTCTATGTAACGCGAGAACTTGTCTTTCTCTTTGTAACGCGAGAACATGTCTTTCTCTATGTAACGCGAGAATTTGTCTTTCTCTATATAACGCGAGAACTTGTTTTTCTCTGTGTAACGTGAGAACTTGTCTTTCTCTATGTAACGCGAGAAATACTCAAACAGGAGTAAGTATTAGCTTCCCTTTCATTGAAATATATCCGTCCCAATCATTTTCTAAGATCCCTCGGGTGTAACTATATCCTAGGCTCTGATTGATCTTCCTGTATTTCGCATACTGTATACAGTCGCTTACCACATTACCAATATCCTACTTGTGCCTGGCAACCAGACAGATTTAGATGCTCGTTTATTTGATCAAATATCCTGTTGTAGTGGTAAGATATTATTGTTTAGTGACTGTTTTTTAACAAGTCTCAATTCTAGTTGGTGATCTCATTTCAAGCTACCAAATATTGACCGACAGCTGAAGACAAGGGTACGATAGGGCCACCTCTTCGGACATTAATTTGCCACTTCGCCTATAACGTCACATCCCTATGTTGTTCTATTATGAAAGCAACAGGCTATCCGTCTGTGACCGGTATAAACACTCATCAAGTAACTTGCCACTTCTTCGTTAAGTTTTGCGTTGGGAATATCGACTTGGGCTTGCTACCAAGTGTTATACTCGCAGTAAATAGACTATCCCTGACTAGGTGTGTAGAAGATATAATTTCTTTAAAATGACTTATTCCTCTAAACCCTCGATTGTAATTTGACCGAATTTGACTGGAAGCATCCTCAGGAGTTGGAGGGAGGGGCTGACCCCCGGGGGACAGAGGGGCGGGGCCAAAAAAGGTTATTCTTGGTCACTTTGCTTTAAACGAATTCAAAGGATATCAACTATATTCGGTTGGAAGCTTTTTCGAGTGGTGGTGATGGCCATATTGCTTTAAGCAACGTCTTCTATAGAACCAGAAAGAAGGATATCAACCATATAAGTGATTCGTTTCCTTAACAAAAATCACTCGTTATAAAATCGTGTAACCTCTTACATGCCATGATTGTTGCATGTTCCTGTTTTTCGTCTTAGTATAATTATCCTGTCTTGGTCATTTTACACAACGGGTATGCGAGAGCTTTAAAATCTCTATCATCGAGTTACCGTCTAGTAACAAATTAAAGTCAGGACTAAATGGGTTGTTAATTGTTACAAAATAATTTCAAATTTAGGTAACTTCATGTATTTAACCATCTCTAATGACTTGTCTTGTGTTTCAACCCAATTCTACTTCATCCACAATATGACCTACATGTAGGAATTGGAGGATGTTCTTCAATGACTCACATTTCTCCACGTTAACAAGCGAATTCTTTCTGTTTGATCTGTTCCAATACTGCTGTCGATCGTATATTATGCTCGTCCAGAGTAAAAGTCTACCCAATATGTCTTGTTTCTTTGTCTAAACCTCTAGCTTTCTTTGAAAAGAAATCCTGTGCCAAGGAATTCTAAACGAAATCGGTGATACCTTAACATCTGATTTACTGATGGAGCTGGTGAATCTCGCGTTGAGGGCTTCTTTGAGCTTTGTATAGTCCGAGTGTATAAGAGTATCTTGGAACTACAAACTTCCCTACACAGAGGTTCTCCATAACTTTGTCAATAACATTAAATTTGATAATTACATTTGTGAACATGTACCATTTGTTATACTCCATGTAGTCTATGCCTCTACAACATGCTTGTCTGTAGTATGTTGGAATTTCACTTAAAGGGACATGTTTTTTCATTTTTCTCTCTCAAATACTTCATAAACATATCCTTATGGAAAATAACGGTCGTATTTGATTGACTCTTATAAAATAACTATCAGGATTTCAACCTGTCTGACCACCGCTTTGCTCATGGTCTACCTCAATGTCAGAGCTACTATCGCATGCGCATAGCATGCCATTTCATTGTATACAAAATGACTGGTCGTGGGAAGTGTTAGACAGTGAAAACCGTTACGCGTCAGCTACGAAGCGAAAAGTTGCCAAATAGTCAAAAGCAAGCGCAAGGAGTACGCTACCGAAGCAGTATTGCAGGTGGGAAGTATTCAAAGGAGAAAGTAACTGCCCTTACTGCTGAAAAATGAGCTTGTTTATTTAGTTTAACGACAGCAGTTTTCAAGTTTAGTAAAATCAATTGATAAGTGTACCAGTGCGTTTTATGATACAAGATACTAAAAGTACGAAATTATGGTAGGAGAGTATTTCTTAAACAAAATGGAGAACACCGAAGCGTAAACGAAGTGTGAACTCAAAATCGATAAAAGGGCAAGACAGGAGAAGACTTATGTAGGCACTGCCTGTTGTCTAATCCTTTTGTTAACTCATTAAAATTTGTTGAAAACAAACATTTGAACAATTTACCA